CCAGTGTCCGGCCAACGGGGACGGGAACGTGACCGAGGGTCTGGACTCGACGCCGGTGGCGTTTGACAACCGATACTTTTAGGGATTTGGTTCGGGGGAGGGGGTTCTTGAGTTCGGATCAGACGCTGTTCTCGGGGAGAGAGGAGACGAGGGAGGTGGTGTTAAGGTTCAGCGTCGACGAGGAGGCCTTTTTCACGGCGTTTGTCGAGGGGATGGTGAAGATGGGGAACCTGCAGTCGGGGAGGCCCGGAGAGATCAGGAGGAACTGCAGGAGGGTGAACGACCACGTGTCGGAAATGATGTCGTCGGAGTCGGCAGATTTTGTTTTCAGTGTCGCATTTGCAGCAGGGAGAATGTAGTAGTAGCGTTGGGCGAAAGTATCACCAACTAGACTGTCACCATTTCTGGAGTTTGCAGTAGCTGTTAATGCCCGGACCAGGGTCTGTTCCCATGAAACATCATATATATAGAATATGTATAATAGCAGCAGCAGCAGCTTAATGTTATCAAAACTACTGAACGTACAGGCTGTAGCATAGTAGGAGAACTAATAATACGATAGCACAAACACCAAGGACCCGTTTGACAAAGGGTTAATAAAGAGGGGTTAAAAGAGAAGGATTAATGTATTTAGCCCATTTGATAATCCGAATGACTAAATTATTAACCCGTTAAATAAGTTTTATTTTAGCCCTTATGATCAGTTTTAGTGTTTGGGAATAACAATGATTTTGACTATTTTCTTTATAATTAGAAGGGTTAACTCTTATTCCATCTAAATAGGAGTATTAGTAAACCCCTCATTTTGAGGGGTTAACTCATTTTAACCTCTCTAGAGGGGTTAACTTAACCCTTCTATATTTTTTATGTTTGGCAAATTATGAAGGGTTAACTCACTTTAACCCTTATATAGATTTGTTGTGTTTGGCGGGTTAAGAAGGGGTTAAGTCTCATTAACCCTTCACTTAACCCTTTGCCAAACGGTACCCAAGTGATTTGAAGCAGAGGCAATCAAGAACTGGCGACGCAAGAGGGGCAGCTGAGCAGGAACAACCATGATTCCCTTTTAATTCACACAAGGGTCTGTTTGGGTATTCCGTTGTAAACCGGCCTGATCGCCACAGTATCACAGAGCGAGGTGGTCCAACGGTACCTAGCAGCTACGATAACTGCTACATTAGAATATTGTAGCAAGCTGACACCTACGATATTATAACTTTAAAAAATCCTCAACCAAACATATCTATAATGAGAGTAGCATGTGTTTGGCTACTCCCTACTAACCTAGTCAAGACCTTAACTGGGTTAGTTGTAAACCAAAAAGAGGGATTGTTCAATCCTAACATGGATAAGGGCCTAAATTTGAACTAAGCAAATCAAATTTGGAGTTAGCCCAATGTTACCGAAACAACAATTCTACCTTTTAACTAGATTAGCTCCGCTAACCTGGATAGTAGGAAAGCTAATCTGGATAGTAGGAGAGCTGCCAAATACCACCTAATATCCCAACAACAAAAAAAAAGCAAGAACTTATTGGACCATAAACTGACTCATCAACTAGTACCAATGAATTTCAACAAGCTAGAGAAGTAGAGATAAAATAAAAAGAACATGCTCGTTAAACTTTGCATTCCACTTTGGATTATAATCTACATATAGATTATTAACCTAGAGATTTTAATCCAAGTGAATCACAATCTAAAATGTTTGGTAATATAGTGAATTATAGTCTATTCTCATGTATAACACCCGGCAATAAGTTATAATCCATCAAAATTACCAAAAACAAACATCACTTAAATTTACCAAAAACTTGGCCCTCGGGATTTAGTGAGGAATCACGAATGCATGCTTTCATGTCTGTCAAACCTCGTATCACATAATCCACCAAATAAAATAAAACAGACCACTGTTTTGTTGGAGTATGAGTTAAAATAAACCAGTTTTCACCATCCATATCCATTATCCACTGAATTGTTTTCCACTGCAGGTGCCTAAAACCACTTCACCATATGCCAAAAATGTTCCAAATCAAATTTTTTAATGTTTAACAATACCAGCACTATAAATCTACAACAAAGAGAGGAACACGTGCATATATATATGCATGCAAGATCTGTTGAAGAACAAACTAATACGATATAAGGATGTTTCATGTTTTAACTCGGTGCCTCAGAAAATCAAATGACAAACAACAGACGCAACTCCACATCCTCAAAGGGAAATCATGGTCCAGACAAAAAACTAATGATTCAAAATTACTACTTCAGACAGAAGACAAAAAGCCACCTAGTTATAAACTATAATCCTGAGTTCAAGCAGATACTGAAGCAGTCTTGGCAGCTGCAGCAGAGAGCCTGGACCTCTTCTTTGCCAAGCTCTCACTGCGTCGGTCCCTCTGCTCCTTGAGCCTCGAGGCAAGGAGCTTCTGGTACTCTGCAGCTTCAGATTTGGCCTTGGCAACTCTCTTCTTCTTCTCTGCAATTCTGGCTCGCTTCCTTTGCAAGGTCAAGGGAGTCACAAGCCTCTGGATTTTTGGTGCCTTACTGCAGGTCTTTCCTGCAAAAACATTGGCAAAATTTGCTTCAGGAAAATCCGGATCAATTGCACAAGATTGTGACAACTTAATCCACTAACCAGTCTGAAACTAAAAACAAATGTTGTTTGTTCCCAAGGAATTTTTAAAAAATTCTGGGAACATACGCAACCAACCTTGAAGAGTTGTCAGGTTTATTTTCTTAACCTATTTTTTTTGTATTTGTTTACTTGAAAACCAAGGAAACCAAATTGTTCAAGATATGAACAATCATCAGCTTTTCGCTCAGATTGTATGAAAAAGTTATTAAACAATGAAAATAGTGGAAACTACATATAAGAGCCTGAGTAAACATGATAGATTAGCAACTAACGTTTGTATCATATGAGTTGCCATGCCCCTCTTATTGTCACCTGAAACTAACAGATTGCTTATCCAAAATGTGGAAAAGTCTAAAACCTCTCATGTTTTCCATTGAACCATCAAAATTGACGGAAAAAGCGAACAATTGGGATTCTAAAATTCCTGACTTCATCAATCATATCCATCTAATCCTGGAGCTTAACAGGCCCTAAAGTAAAGAGTAAATATTTGAGTTATTGACAGAAAAGGGGAACGTCAAAAACAAAAAAGGTGTGCTCAAATAACATTAGAGTCTAATCACCACAGCAAAATGGCATTAAAAAGTTCTGTGTTGGGTTAAGATGTCAAGCCTGCATTTTTCTTAAGATAAACATTTAGAACACTAATGGGGCATCACACACTAATAGTCCGCATTACATTTAGACCACTAATGTGGCATTATGCACTGATAGTCAGCATTAAACATATCTTAAGAAAAACTACCATCATCAATGAACAAACAGTTGAATCCTCTGGATGGAATATTATATTAAAAAACTATTATAAAATGAAGTGTATGATGAATGTACTCTTTTTCAGAATAAGAGAATGGAAGCATTAGCTAGAGCATTCACATTTATTTCTAATGAGGAGAGATAAACACAAGAAATCATCACTATATAAATTATGCTTGAATATACCGCCAAGGGAGAACTATTATACTGGCAAAACCAATATCATCACTTTTTCCCATTTAATATCAACATTATACTGGCACAACAAATATCAACCCTTTTTCCCATTTAAGATCAACATGGGATGACGGATTACGAGTTCTCAATATTTTGCAACGAATTGAGATTCAAAAAAGTAGAAAACACTTGTGACTGATAAAAATGGAGAGTTCTCAATATTTTGCAACGAATTGAGATTCAAAAAAGTAGAAAACACTTGTGACTGATAAAAATGGAATAAGCAGAGGCAGGAACCAAAACTAAAGATTCAAAAAAGTAGAAAACACTTGTGACTGATAAAAATGGAATAAGCAGAGGCAGGAACCAAAACTAAAAAAGACAAAGGGCTCCTCTATCATTCTATGTTTTTAAACATAGAAAGAAAGAAAAAGCGAATATGCACTGACAACATAGTAACAGCATGTCTCTCCAAAAAAACATAGTAAGAGCAAAAAAATCATCAAATTAAGTTTGCAACAGATAAAGGTAAATAACTAACCTTTCTTGTTAGTGAAGGTCCTACGGTAAGTGTTGACATACTTGCGTACATCATCTTCCTTAGAAAGGTTGAACAGCTTACGGATTTTGGAGGCCCTCTTAGGTCCTCTCATCCTTGGCTTCTCAACATCAGTCAACCCAGGAAGGTCATTCTCACCTTTCTTAACAATAACGAGATTGAGGACAGAGAGATCAGGGCTAACAATGCACCCACGCACAGACTTCCTTCTTCGCTCTCCGTTGCGCCTTCCATAACCACGGAAGCAAGGTGTTCCTGTTAAGAAACAACTTATCAGTTCGTAAACAACTATCACGTTTATTGACAGAGCTTAGATATCTGAATGTAAATAAGGAAATTTAAACTGGCCTCTGTGCAGCAATAGGCGGACGCGACCAGGAGTCAGCACTCCCTGCTTCATGGGAAAACCCTGCTTGTCACAACCTCCCATGATTTTGAAACGACCAGGAGTCAGCACTCCCTGCTTCATGGGAAAACCCTGCTTGTCACAACCTCCCATGATTTTGAAAACATATCCCTTGAACTCCTGAGTATATCGATAAGAAAAATAATAACAAATGAATATGTACAATAGTCTAATAAATAATAAAAGAAAAACTGAAAATACATAGAATTCCCGGCTGTATAAATGAAGTATTGTGTTGTCAGATAGTACGCTTACCTCGCCAAGAGCATCACCACTGACTTCTTGTGAAATACGCTTATCATAAAATGCACGGCTGTAAAAGGAAGAATAGTCAGGGCATGGATCAGAAAATAAAATATGCAATGCGCAGACATGCGCTTTTACAGACAGTAAGTAACATGGACACACATCAACCAACAGAGGAGATAGGGTGGATGATGGCTTAGATGGTAATTTACATACAGTAAGAATCAAATTGCATAGTGCCTATAATGAGAATTAAATTGCAATGTCTCACAAACAATTTGGGGAGAAATAGTGGAAGAGATGTTCGCCAAATAACATACTGCTGATTAGTGCATGATGTCTCACAAGTATTCAGAACTGTAGAAAAGTAGATATAACGAACTAATAATGTCATAGAATAAGAATCCCAGATCAATTACCTAAAGAACTAAGATCAAAGAATGAACAGTTATTAAAATCATAAGGGTGACAAAACAACATCAAAAGCAGTACATGTTGCGCACAGAAACAGACATGGACTGAACATTCTTTTATTTGAAGTTATTAGTAATGAAACAACTGAATTGACAGTGAACGCTAGCTACTAAACAATGAAGCTTACTCACATAGAAATGATATAATAGATGCGAAAATGCCCATTAACTACTTGCTATCTTTAACATTCTATAATAAGTATGCTTCTTGAAACAAAAACAAAAAAGAACACTTGCAATAACAACTTAAGGCATAGATGAGGTCTGGAAAATCATTTCAGTAAAATATTAAAAGTCCAAAAAACAAAAGGACTGCATCAAACGACATTGCACCACTAGTCGCAGATGTTATTTCTGAAAAACGTCAATAGAGAAGTTACATGTCAGGTTATTCAGCCAAACAACAGTCATGCATGAGTTTATGTTCTGTAAATTTCAAAGAATTTTTAGTTTTTATGGTGAACCTCGAAGAAGATAAAGGTTGTTGCCATAACTAGCTATGCCAGTAAGAATAAAAACTGCAGACATATGACAGTTATGGCCTGAGGGACTTATTTGAGACAACTTAAGTGATGCAGGGATTTATTTATATGAGTTTTGGGGAACTATTTCATGAATACCCTATTTGGCAAAGGTACTTAATGACTTTATGGGATAAGAGAAGCCTTCTACATGTTAAGCTCCAACCTTAACAACTGTGGCTAATAATTAGCTCAAAGTTCACATATGATGCTGTTCAATGACAAGATCATAGGTATTAAACACTCATAGGGTTTAGACTAAATACTAGAAACCGTAATTAACCAAGTAACAAATAAAATAAATATACCATCTTTGGCAACCTATGAAAAATTAAACAGGAACAAATAATGCAACAAAGGCGCAATGAAACTAATAAAGGAACTCAAAAGATCATAACTTGTAAATGAACAAACTTACAGCTTCTGGTCGTCGTCAATCTCGAGCTTTTTCTGGCACCCAGTGGTGGGATTGGCGATATTAAACTTACAGCTTCTGGTCGTCGTCAATCTCGAGCTTTTTCTGGCACCCAGTGGTGGGATTGGCGATATTGAACTAAAAAAACCACAAAAAATTCAATCTCGAGCTTTTTCTGGCACCCAGTGGTGGGATTGGCGATATTGAACTAAAAAAACCACAAAAAATTGTCATTAAAACTTAGATTTAGAATAGAATCATCAAATCTAACAGCATGAGAAGATTTCGATTCTACAACACAAAAAGAAATAATCTTTAGATAACACAAAAAGAAATAATCTTTAGATCTAGGTTTAGTATTATTACCTTCATCTTCGATCTAACGAAGAGATCAAAGCGGCGAGATGAGCGAGCGAGAGAAGGAAACAGAAAAAACCGCGGCCTAAAGTTATATGCTCAGAGAAATTAGGGTTTGTGAGGTTTGGGGTTTATATCAAGAGGGCAGATAGATTGATTCATCTGGACCGTCCAATAGTAGCACAAATATTTTGCCTAATGGGCCACATCTTTGGAATATTGAACGTTCTTAATGGGCCACGACGCTTATGTTGAGCCGAACTATATATTATCTAGTCACAAAATTTTCTAACCGAGTAGGCATGGTATGGAGATATCATATTATATCATATCATACTCCCTTTAAAAGTACGAGTTCAGGAAAATCTTTCTACGGTCGGTATTAGGAAAATCTTTCTACGGTCAGTATTACCCTTAGATTTTTTTTAATATTATATTGTTATCCTAATCTATTCTAATTTTATTCATATCTTATTTAATTCCACGTGAACTATCTATAGGTCAACAATTTAAAAAAAAGTTATTTTGATATTTCACTTAAATCTTAATCTATCCAAATACTAATTATATCCTATATTAACTCCATATGAACTACCTATGACTCAAAAATATAGAAAAAATAAGATTAAGAAATTATACGTAGATAACATATTATAATACATGAAGTATAATAAAAAAACCCAAAAATTTCAAAATTTGCATATAATAGCCTTAAAATTTTAAAATTACACAAAATACCTTAACTTTTTAAAACTAAAAAACAAACATGATATCTAAAAATTTAAAACTTGTGATTAATACCCTCAATATTTTAAAAATTATAGAAACAACCTCAAAAGTTTAAAGGCTAAATTAAATTTATATACCCTATGTCGCAGTTATATACCCTAAATTATAAAATATAGCAAAAATACCCTGAGTTGGTAAAATTTTGCAAGTTGGTACCTTTTGTTAACCAGTTGTGAGAATATTCTCTGGAATATTCCCAAGTGTTGGATCTATGACCAACTTGAATATTTCTTACCCTTATTTATTGTATTATTTACTGTATGACCTACCCCCCGGTGCAAATTAGATTATTTTCATCATCATCATCTTCTTTTCGTTGCCTCTAACTTCTTCTTCCTTTTTAATATGGGTAATAGTAGAAAACAAGAGCTTTCACTATGTTGGGGGGAGGTTAATTCTTAAGGAGGGGCATTATTGTCCTTTTATGTATTTTTTAACACTGTTAGCTAAATTTAAACAGTTACCAACTCAGGGTCTTTTTTTGCTATGTTTTGTAACTTAGGGTATATAACTACTACAAGAACAAAACAATAGGGTATATAAGTGCCATTTAGCCATGTTTAAATTAAAAAAAACATTCTAAAATTCAGGGATTTCAAAACTTAAAAACAATATAGATGGATTCCAGGGATTACCATTGAGAACATAGAAATTTATAATTAGTAAAAAAAATAACCTCAAAGGTACAAAAATCACAAAAACTCTCTCAAAAGTAAAAAATTATAAAAAAATTCTGAAATTTTAAAACTTATAATTGGTACATATAAAATTTAGAAATTATCTGCAGCTTGCTAAAAATTTAAATTTTTTAAAAACAACCCAAAATTTTAGTAATTATAAAATTACTTTCAATTTTTCAGAGTTACGAGAAATATTCTAACATTTAAAAACTTATCACCAATACATGAAACATGAAAATTATAAGCGTCCAACTTAAAATTTAAATTTTTTATAAAATACTATCAAAGTTTAAAAATTATAAAACATACCCTCAAAAGTTTAAATCACAAAAGGCTAAAATTTGGCAAAGAAAAGAGGAAATGTTTGATATTATTACATTAAGATATAATAGGTTAGCATTAATTGATTATAATGTATAAACATTTATCTCTAATGTTGATAATCATTAATTGATTATAATGTATAAACATTTATCTCTAATGTTGATAATATTTATTTATAAAGTAAAAAAACAAGGAGTTATGTATGGAGAAACTATCAGAAAGTTCAGAGATATACTTTAAAAGAACTAAGTTGTTTTCATTTCAAATGGAGAAGTAAATGAAATAAACCCAAAATTTAGAAACATTCATGAATCACCTGAATTGACAATGATAAAAAGCATATCGAGCAAAGAAGCACTAATCGAGTTCTTCTTGAAGAATATATTGAACAATTATGTCCTAATTAAAAAACATTATTCATGAAAAGTACAAAAAAATTAGTAAGTACTTATAAATTTGCATACTTTATTCTAAAAATACTAAAGGAATCATAAACTTAATATGAAATTTTATATAAATAATATTACAATAGAAACTAAAGTGAAGTCATTGATCAACTATATTGTGAGATATAATAAACTAGATAAGATGAGAAAATCACTATAATGGACAAAAAATATGCACATGATACTTAGTTACCATAGTGTAAGTAAAAAAATTAAAATTGATATTTTCCTTTTCTCTATATAGTGGCACGACTTTGCAAGTATCCTTATTTGGGGATCTGACTACTAACAAAAGATCAATTTTTAAGAACACGGTCAAAGATAAGCATGTAATAGTACTGTCAGATTTCAAAATCTTTAAATATGAATGTTATATATTTTGCAACTAAAATTCTTATTAAAGGCCCCACTAAATATAAAATTCATCTTATACCTGTCTTAAATTTGTATGAAAGATATGCATGTCATCGTAAATTATGTTAATAATATATCAACTTATTGAATAAATAAGAGATAGATAAGCAAACCAAGCAGGCATCCATATAACACGATAAAAAAATATTACACTTTAAAGCTAATATGTAGGGCTCATTCAGAACAAGCTGCTAAAACAAAAGCATCTTCATCAAGACTCTTTATAAATACAACACAAATTTAAATTATTTACTATTTTTAAAAATAGCTTAACTTTTTGAGTAAAATCAGTAATATTTAGAAGTGATTTTCATGAACTCTTTTAATTTTTTATATGGTTATGTGGATACTTTTATCATATAAAACTCTTTTAATTTTTTATATGGTTATGTGGATACTTTTATCATATAAAAGTGTAATAGAGTTAGCATTAATCTTTATTTTATGATTTTTTTATACTTTTATCATATAAAAGTGTAATAGAGTTAGCATTAATCTTTATTTTATGATTTTTTTTCTAAAGTTTATCACTGATTAGCAACAAAATTTATGTTCTCTTTAGTTTCATTCTAGCTCACTTTTAATTAATCATTTTGTCTTATTGGCTTTAATTATTCATCCTTCTTTTATAACATTATATTTTCAAGTGTTTTTCACTTTTACAACATTATATCTTCTTAAGTCAAGCTTAGTTTCATGCCGATCTAAATAACGTGAAAATTCAAATTAGCTTTAGATTATAGTTATTTCTTGTCGATTCAATTATTACATGAAAATTTTAAATTTGGTGTACCCCATTCAAACAAACATTAAAAAAATAATCACAATAATAAATTTTGAAAACATAAGTGAGAAAAACAATCAAAGTGGAACTCAGAAACAAAAGTTTTAGTAAAGAAATAATTCAAAAATACTTAAATCATAATATTTAATCACGTGCATTGCACGTGCATAAATCCTAGTCATTCAAAAAGAGCAAGCTATTTACGTTGTAAATACGAAAGTGACGGAAATAATAAGTCCTTAAATCATTTAAATTAGCATTAACATAAGGTATATTTATTAAAGAAGCATCAACTGAGTTACATTGAAGAAATATTTAATAATTTTATTCCAATCAAAGAAGAATTCTTTATGGAAGATATAAAAAAAATTAGTAAGTATTTATAAATTTCATACTTTGTTCTTCAAATACCAAAGAAATTAAAATATTATAATTTAAGGCAAATTAGCAACGAAAAATGTAGGTATTTAGTTCAGATCTTTGTGTAAAATGATAGGTATAAAGCAAATGTAATATTATTAATGTAACAGAAATTCTTATTGGATGTACATTAGAAGGATTCATTGTAGAGAAAAAAGAGGTAGCTTCTAGTCTTATTTAAGTAATAAATTAGGAACACAAATAATTTTATATACATGAAATTAACATTTATTCTCATTAAAATAGAAAAAATCAAAGTCTGTATTTCAAGAAGTTTGTGTTGAACAACAAAAATATATTTAACTTCTTTGTGAAGTTAAACGATAAGATAAAAGATTAACGAGCCTAAGAAAAATAACAATACAAAAATTACAACTTTAACCTGATGTCACAATCGATGAATATGATGAAGACTACTCTAGAATTGCTCGGAAAAAAAATGAAGGTGAGAAAGTATTGATCTTAACTCAATAAATAAATAAAATAGAAGAAATAAAAGACAATGCTATTTACATATTTTATAGAATAGTTTAATTAATTTGAGTGAAATTAGGAATCTTTACAAGGGAGTTTCATGAGTTTTTTCATTACTTTTATATGCTTATGTGAATGTTTTTATCATATAAAAATATGCTAGAGTTAGTATTAATATTTAATTTATAATTTTTTATAAATTCTATCAATGATCAAGAACAAACTTCATGTTAGGAATCTTGACCCCAATATTAGTTTATTTTGATGATAACAAATATTATATGTTGTGTGTATTATGTGCTAACTTTTGTTTTTGTAGTATCAGAGCTATATCAATAATTATATTCAAATAGATACTCAAGACATAGATGAGTTCAATGACAAATGAAGCAAAGAAGAAGAAATACTTTATTGTCAAAATATAATTTTATATTTTCTTTGCTTAGAAATTTGTACAAGCTTTGATCACTCACACACATACACACACGTAGTGTTAGAACACACTAACACATGCTTAGTGTGTTGGTTAACAATAGAAATCCCCTATGTTAGCCATTAGAGTTTATAGATATTGAATGAGTCTTAAAACATTTTATTTATACCCCTTAGCAATTATAATCTGGAAAAGATCAAACTTGTAGGTCTCTTCAAGAGCTTTTCAACAAATCTTAAATCACCTCATTCCGATATTGGATGAGAAAGTTACGGTCAAAATACAAAAAAATTCAGAATCTGTGAGTTTACAATGTAGTCGACTACTATGCCCTGTAGTCGACTACTAAGTAATTTTCTGACTTCACAGAGTCTGTTTAGGCTCAGTGTAGTTGACTACTATGACTTGTAGTCGACTACAGATGTAGTTTTTTCAGATTTTAGGTTTTAAATAAGTGATTGTTTATAGCCGTTTTGTGGACGTTAATTGGGTTTAAAATTATGTCATTTTAGAGGCTATAAATAGGTTTAAACATCAGAAAACAAACACCAAATTTTGCATTTATAAGATTCACATATTGTGCAAATTAACTCTCTAAACTTTTGGTTTTTCAATCTGTTTTTCCATAAAAGAGAGTTTCTGATATTGTCTTTATTTCTATCATTCTTAGAGCTTGTTTAGGTAATATTCAGAGTGTTAAAAAGATTGATAAACCACTGTTACACGTTCACATCCACATCAAGGCTTATAGGATTGGAATTATACATTGATTCTATGAAGGTTCTCTCAGTTTTGAGAGGGTTGATCTCTTGGTCTAGAGATCGGTGTGACGATTAGCATGGTCTTGTCAATTGGGTTGCAATTTGCATGGTCTTGCAAATTGGTTAGGTTTGCTTTTTATTTTGTAAGGTTTCAAAATCATAGTGAAAACTCTCAAGCGGGATTTGCTTAGGGACTGAATGTACACCGGGGAGGTGAAACCAGTATACATGCTTGTGTTTGTGATGTTCATTTTCTGAGACTGAATGTACACCGGGGAGGTGAAACCAGTATACATGCTTGTGTTTGTGATGTTCATTTTCTGAGATTGTCATTCTTTCTTTGCAATAACCAGTATACATGCTTGTGTTTGTGATGTTCATTTTCTGAGATTGTCATTCTTTCTTTGCAATTTATATTCTACTTTACAAACTCACCCTCTAGTGTTTAAGTGTAAAGCTTCCGCAAATTTTATAAGAGCGCACTATATTCTTAAGGGTCACGATCCTACACTTAGTATACATAAGCAAAATCATACCCTACACTTCATATTCTTTTTCGAATCGTTTTAGCATACTTATAATCAATCATTTTGACTTATTGGTTTAAATATTTACTTTCGTTGTATAACACCATTTCAATATTTTTTACTTTTATAACACCGTACTTTCTCAAGTAAAATTTGGTTTAATGTCAATCAAAATAATATAAAAATTTAAATTAGCTTCAAATTATATCTGTTTTCTGTCAATTCAAATATCAACATGAAAATTTAAATTAGATACACTCATTTAAACAAACATTAAAAAAAATAAATAATCGCAATATTAAAGTGAGCACAAACTATTAAAGTGGAACTGATGAACAAAATTTAGTTAGAAAATATGCCAAATTACTTAATCATGGTATCCAACCACGTGCATTGCACGTGTATAAAACCTAGTAATAATAAAAATATGACAATCACATTTTTATTTCTCCTTTCTTTAGTATGTAAAAAAAGGATTAATGATTTATTATTAGCCTCAAATTTTAAAAAATCCTTTAGAAAGTTTCATTAAACCTTCAATAACTTTAACTGTTTGGCACTAAGCTTACAAATTTTTTGAAACCCTTGATAAGTTTCATATTTTAGAAAACCATCAAAATATTTTGATTTCTCAAGATCAATATCTACCTCTCAAATCATTCTTATTTTCAAATTAACCCATATCCCTGTGATATATATGGAACTATAAACAACCCCTTGACAATGTGAAGATCATAAAAAATCATTTAAATTCTAAAAGTTATAGAAAACCCCTACAAAATCTTAAAAATTCAAACCATCTCCTTTAATTTCTAAAAGATATACACAAACCCTTTAAAACTTTAAAAACTACAAACAAATCCCTTGACGTTATGAAAATTACAAATAACCCCTCGAAAGCTAAAACTACTAAAAACATCTGAAAAATCCAGAAATTACAAGAAGACCCTAAATTTTAAGACACACAAAGAACTTGTCGTCAAATTTGAATATTACAAATAGCCCCCCTAATGCCCCCACCCCACCCCAAAAAAATTACAAACAACTTAAGATCCAAAAAAAAGAAATAACCTCTTAAAAAATTAAAAATTACACATAACCCCCAATATAAAAAACACCTATTATTGGGGGTTTTCTGCTTTGGGGGTTAAACGAGAAAACTAAAACTAATTGTGTGATTTCTTTCAAAAATTTTTAGGAATATTTTGGTCATCTGACCACACATTAACCAACAATGTTGAGTCGGGAGCTTTGTGCCAAAGTTATTGGGGGGTTTAATAAGGTTTTGCAAGGCATTATAGGTTTAGTGTCAAACACTCAATATTGAGGTTTTGGTGAAGATTTATCCATATTTTAATTTTTATTATAGGGAGGATAGATATTAGAAGTCCATTGAAGAATATGTTCGTGCTTACTATTTTAGAACATACATTACCTCTCAAATTAAGATGAAAACAAAAATTTTAAATGAATAGGAGAATCAAGTAAAATGCATTATAAGTAAAGAAAATATGGATTCTCTCTTTTGTGAGCGGAAGAACAAATTAAACAATATAAAAGGATAGTAGAGAGAAAAAGAAATGGTTTAAACCCCCCTTTATATATAAAATTTATGGTTTATTAAATAAAAAACACATGACTATCCCTAATTTGAAATGAAAATTTAAAATAAAAAACTATTTACACACTTATTAAGTGGACATACAAATAAGGCAAAAAAACTAAATCAATCCGTGTGAGCACAGACATAATGCTCGCTAATAGCAAAGACGATGTAACAAAACCCAAGAAGTACGTAAAAAAATGTTATGAGAACCACCCGTAATAACCAATAAAACGGTGTGACTTGAACCATAAAACCCAAACTAGTCTTATATTCTACCGTTAATGTTATAAATCACTCTACATATGCGGCTACTCTGAAAATTCAGTACTCCTTAAAAAAATAAACTGGAATCTTGTGCCTGCTTTTCTGGGAGAAATGCTCTTTCTCGGTACTATCTTTTTACTTAATACTGGGCCAGGTAGGAGGACGGCGGCCCAAGGTTATGTGAAAGCCCATTTTGAACTTCGGATCCAAAATACGGCTTATTTACCCGAAATCCACTTATCTCAATCCGACCCGTTTAATAAACCCGACTGCCTGATAAAACCCTAGTCATCTCCCTCGTGCTGTTCTTCAAAGTGTAAGCCCTCCAATAAAAACCTAAAACCCTCTCCTTTTTTTCCCGTCGTTTTTCTTCCATACTTCCAATGGCTGCTCACGGCGAAAAGAAGAAGAAATCTCAGAAACAAAACCCTAACCATTTAGCCCCAAAATCTCAAAAACCCTTCAAAAGATCGAAGAAGGAAAAGATACCCAAAGAACCAGCTTCCACCGACTCACTCTCTACTTCTCTCCTCGTTCAAGACGACGATCCCGAGTTCCCCAGAGGTAAACGGTTGCTGAAACCGCTTCAAAATACGATTTTGAGATTTTTTTTTGTTTAATTTGGTCGTGTTTTTGTTTGTGAGTTCAGGAGGAGGCAGCGTTTTGAGCAGGAAAGAGGAGGCGGAGGCCCGAGCTGAGGCGGAGGCTGAGTTTGAGAAGGAGAAGAAAGAGTTTAGGAAAGGGAAAGACAGGAGGAAGAAGAAAAATGAGAGGAAGAAGCCTGCAAAGGGGGCGGATGATGAATTGGGATCGCTCTTCGGTGAAGGAGTCACCGGCAGATTGCCAAAGTTTGCCAATCGCATAACATTGAAGGTATGTAAAGAAGATAGAGTTCACTCTTAATTATTACCATATTTCTCATCCAATTGAATAGATTGACCTAGTAAATGAGCATTCTCGGAGAGTGATACATACACACGACATCTTATATTATAATGTGGTGCATATGTGAAACTATGAAGTTGTTCGACTACAATCAAGCATCTAAGCTAAATAGACAATTAGACGTATAGCAGTTATATTCTTTTATGGCCCTACTTAGAATGTAAAGCCTTGTGAACTCATAAGTAAACAAAGTGCCATGGGCCATTATCTTATTTCACTCAAGACAGAACTAAACCACAGGCAATATGTAGCTAATTTAGGGGTAAAACTGTTAAAGTTGGACAAATTGTCCTGGATTTAGCTTTTGTCATGCCTGACCTGTACGTTGCCTGGTAATAATAACTGGGTAATAGCAAGGACTAAACTGTAGTTACTCTACAACCAAATGACGGCTACTGAAAACTGTGCCTGTATATGACTTGGATAAATCATAGGGTTTCTTGTTGGACATATGATAGTTCAGGATACTGTAGTCTGTAGGTTTGAAAACAAATACAGGCTAGGTCATTTCTTTTTCGAACCAAAGCACATTTTGAAAGAACTTTCATATATGATTAGTAACCAGTATAATATAATTATTTATTATTTAATAAATTAAATAGAAATATCCATTTCGTTTTTGACAGTTTATGTTTAAATACTAATAGTTTAATTTACAGTTCTCAAGTTTAAAAGTGTATACAAACTCGGAGTGATATAACGATGATGATAAATGCTTATTAGTACATTTACAAGTATAATATGCTTTACCATAATCATCCTCTTGTGCTGTCCATTATTTCTTATTATAATATTGTAATTATATGTTTTAAATGTTATTACTAAAAAAAATCCAAGAAAAGTACAAGTAAAAAGTCTTTCTCCTAATTGTCTTGTGCGTTTCCATTCTTTGCTGTAGCTCATTTTCCTACTCTTTTTTTTGAGAATATAATATAATTCTATTTTATTTGTACTCAGAATATTTCACCAAACATGAAGCTTTGGGGAGTCATCGTCGAAGTAAATCAGAAAGACCTTGTCATCGGTCTTCCTGGAGGACTAAGGGGATTTGTTCGCACAGAGGATGTGTCTGACATTGTGTTAGATAACGTGGATAAGGTAAATTTGCAAAAATTCCATTGAGGATGTCAGATGACACTTGGAACATGATCTGTATTCGGGATATGATAGTTGCTCCTGTAATCCTTAAGATATAAGCTGTTAAATTAATAAATATCATCAATCTCTTTGTTTTCTATCTCAGGATACTGAAACTTACATACTTCCTAGCATCTTTCATGTTGGTCAACTTGTATCTTGCATAGTACTAACAGTTGATGACGATAAGAGAGAAGGAAGTGGACAAAAAAGGATTTGGCTGTCTCTGCATCTTAGTTTGCTGTACAAAGGCCTCACTCTGGATGCTGTTCAAGATGGGATGGTATGCTACAATTATTTCAGTAAACAAGAGCTGCTAAAGATTTTCTGTTCTTAAAGTCTCACCAATGATCCTCTGCTGTTAGCTTTTAATTTTTCATGCGCGTTATCAGATATATTTAATTCAATGTAATTCTCTATTCTTGGAATGTTATAATGACAAACATCTCAAACTTCTGAGTACTGGCTAACCTGCTTTGCATACTTCTTTCGCCTCTTGTAGGAAAAGGAAAACACAATTATTTACTTCTCATTTCAAAAGACAAAACCAACTAGCTCCATTGAAAAATAACAAGATTTAGATAGTGTTTAATAACCAGTCAAACTAATAGTAATCCAATGTGTAAAATTTGGAGAAGGATGAAATGTGCATGTATGGACACAAAGATGTTCTTGACGCGTATTTTCTGAAACAATACCAATTCAAACAAATAATAAACTAATGTTTTAAAGGGTTGTTTATCATAACGTTTTCCCATTGTAATAAAGCAAAACAGGAGATACTTTAAGGATGGAGTAAGCTGTTATATTATGATGAGAATAGTAGTTTAATTACCTTTAAGGCTTTAACAAAGGTGATAAATAGTATAATTTAAGGATTGAATTAAGAAGATTAGGAAAATGTTATGAGTACATTTAAAAATCTAACTAGTTAAAAGTATTTTTTTCATTTTTCCGGTGCAGGCACCTACTGATCTATTCATGCAATATGGTTTTCTGGCTCCAGCCTTTGTTTGCACTTTTAATCTCATTAAACTGTTTTAATCTATTGCCTTTGTAGTAAGAGAATTCCGTGCTTGACCCTTTCATTAATAGAGTTTAGTTTACCCGTCTTTGTAGCATCCTATCCTCCATTATGCCCTTATTGATTGAGATTCTTTGTTTTGGACCACTTGATATGTAGGCGTGTCTTAGTACAAATCCACACCTCTACTGTTAATGCATAATTCCTTCCAGTGTTATCTTGGGCGCTCCAAGGCAATCGGCTTGGGTGCTGAGGCATAATTCCTTCCAGTGTTATCTTGGGCGCTCCAAGGCAATCGGCTTGGGTGCTGAGGCACTTCAGGGCACTGAAACTGTGCCCTGCATGAGATGTGGGGTGCATTGTGTAAGTGAGGTGCACACCTCGATACGCCTTATTGTGCCTCGTGCCTTGATGCACCTCCGTGCGCCTCAGTGATATTACTACTACATTCTCTATTCCTCTTCATTTGCCTGCTACTTTGTCTCATTACCATTCTCCTCTTCCCCAAATTCTTGCCTACTCCTTATATTTCCCCCATTTTTTCCTGTTATTATTACTATATTGAAACAGTGATTGTGAAATCACAAACTAATTGCTGTTTTAAATATCGGCCGATAATCGATATTATCGGCCGAGTTATCGGATTTGGTAGCTCTCCGCTAGGATACATTGGATTTTTAATCAGTTATCGTTTTTCTAGGTTTATCGGCGATTTATCGGCGTTATCGGCACTTATCGGCCGATAAGTAAGACTTTTTTATCGGGATTATCGGGATTATCGGCCCATTTTGACTAAAATTATATTTTTTCAAGGCTATGATGCAAGTTTCGCTTTCTATAATTGGTTAATGATCCTAAACATGATGATTTACATTTTGGTATGTTTATATTTCATTAAGCATGATTAGATTACATTTTTTAATTGTTATATTATATATACACATCATCCAGTATATCACTCCGATAAATACTACTTATCCCCGATATATCCCCGATTTCCGCTATCCGTTAAGGATTTTGGCCGTCCGATAAATCCCCGATAACCGATATTTAAAACCTTTATTGCGATATCGGCTGTTATTAATAATATCGAACTTGATTATGTTCCTTTGTTTTTTTATTTAAGCATTGTGAAACCAAGGCCTGGACATGTTCTGCTGCTTATAATGTTTGTGATTCTAGATGTATGATTTTATAGAAAAAGTTCTTTTATTATTTTTGTTGTGATAAATTACTGGAAATACGGAAAGGTAGCGTTAAATTGTCATTAAATCTCTTGTAACTGGTGTTAAGACTCAATTAGGACATTATTCTGTGATTTAGGTTATTGACCATGCAATTTAATCTTTTGCAACCTTAGGACGACAAATTAGGACATTATTCTGTGATTTAGGTTATTGACCATGCAATTTAATCTTTTGCAACCTTAGGACGACACTCCAAGTTCCCCTATAACAAAAAGACTAATTGACCATGCAATTTAATCTTTTGCAACCTTAGGACGACACTCCAAGTTCCCCTATAACAAAAAGACTAGCTCAACTAGATGAGAGGGGAGATAGAAAGTTTTGTTATGAAGTCAAATTCACAATTTACTTCTGATCATTAAGTAAAATTATGGATGGATTAAATCCCAAGGGTCAGAAAAGGCCAAGTCAAACTTAGTAGTGACGTTGACACATAACACATGACCAGATTAATTTCTCCTCCAGTGAATTTGGTAACTCCTGGTGCTGTGCATTGAGGACGAACGAAGATTTGCCATAAGTTTTTTATCCTGCATTTTCTTTGGATATTTTAGCTGATAATGCTTATATTTGCCACTAATGTCAACATCAGATTCTTGAAGACATCTTGGTTCTTCATAATTTATTTTTTTCTCACTGTGCTTCAACACAATTTATCCCCATGCATATGCAAACTGTTTACCCATTCTGGCTTGCATTTATTTGCTTATGGACATAACCTTTGCACTTTTACTTGAAACTTTAAAAAAAATTATATTTTTGAGGTATTAAGTATGAGGTGCATAATGTTATTGAGTAACTGAAAATAGATATAAGTTACTAAGAACTTTTTGAAACGAATGCTATAAGGCTATAAGCCACATTTTGGTTTAGTAGAAGTCTGAAATAAGCTAGAAAATTGCACGAAGTGATGTGATTATAATTCAGAAATTTTGTTCACTCAGGTTCTTACAGCACAGGTGAAGAGTGTTGAGGACCATGGCTACATTCTTCATTTTGGAGTCCCATTGTTCACTGGGTTTCTCCCTAGGAGTGGTCAAGGTATGGAAAATTACCATGTACGGTTTTCCCTAATGATTACTGCTTATTTCCATTTTTCACCCATATTCATCTCCTAAAATTTTCTCCCTCTCTATCCTGTAATTTGCAACATATCCTCTTTATTGTTTGTCCTCAGATTGAGGTGATTGTAGGAAAAGTATTTCTCCAAAACTGTTCTAGTTTTAATGCAGTATTGGCTGAGAAATTAATCTACACACTTAAGCTTCTACTTACTGTTTCAGCATTACTTTGGTGCAGGTGGTGGTAAATTCCTTAAAGGCCAGTTGCTACAGTGTGCAGTGAAGAGTGTTGATAAAGTTAGAACTGTTGTTTATCTTAATGCTGATCCAGATTTGGTGTCCAAATATGTGGCATGTGTTCACTTTCTTCCTTTTATGTTTGTAACTTACATGTTCTGATTTAGTTTTTATCTTTATTGCCTTTTATACATTCTAATTTTGAACCATTTCTTTACTGATTGTAGGCCAAGGATCTAAAGGGGATTTCTATAGACCTTCTGGTTCCTGGCATGATGGTCAATGCTCGCATTCATTCTATCCTTGAGAATGGAATTATGCTCTGCTTTCTTACTTATTTTACCGGAACAGTATGTTTTTTGTTTTGCTTATTATTTATATCCTGTTATTATATACTAAGCATTTACCTTCCAGTAAAGTTATGGCTCAATGCTTATATTTACATAGATTTGGCTTTATTTCAGGCCGATAT